GGGGGGAATGTAGGTGTGGGCACGGGTGTGTAAGTGGGTGTGTACGTGGGGGTGTGTAAATGTAGGTGTGAGCACGGATGTGTGTGTGTGTGTGTTTGTAGGTGTGCGCGCGTGTGTAGGTGTGTGTGTGTGTAAGTGGGGGTGTGTAAGTGTAGGTGTGTGCACGGGTGTGTGTGTGTTTGTAGGTGTGTGTGCGTGTGTGTAGGTGTGTGTGTAAGTGGGGGTGTGTAAGTGTAGGTGTGTGCACGGGTGTGTGTGTGTTTGTAGGTGTATGTGCGTGTGTGTAGGTGTGTGTGTATGTAAGTGGGGGTGTGTAAGTGTAGGTGTGCGCGTGTGTGTAGGTGTGTGTGTGTAAGTGGGGGTGTGTAAGTGTAGGTGTGTGCACGGGTGTGTGTGTGTGTCTTTGTAGGTGTGTGTGCGTGTGTGTAGGTGTGTGTGTGTAAGTGGGGGTGTGTAAGTGTAAGTGTGTTCACGGTGTGTAAGTGTGTGTGTAAGTGGGGGTGTGTAAGTGTAGGTGTGTGCACGGGTGTGTAAGTGTGTGTGTAAGTGGGGGTGTGTAAGTGTAGGTGTGTTCACGGTGTGTAGGTGTGTGTGTGTAAGTGGGGGTGTGTAAGTGTAGGTGTGTGCACGGGTGTGTAAGTGTGTGTGTAAGTGGGGGTGTGTAAGTGTAGGTGTGTGCACGGGTGTGTGTGTGTGTCTTTGTAGGTGTGTGTGCGTGTGTGTAGGTGTGTGTGTGTGTAAGTGGGGGTGTGTAAGTGGGGGTGTGTAAGTGTAGGTGTGTGTGTGTAAGTGGGGGTGTGTAGGTGTGCGCGTGTGTGTAAGTGTGTGTGTGTAAGTGGGGGTGTGTAAGTGGGGGTGTGTAAGTGTGTGTGTGTAGGTGTGCGCGTGTGTGTAGGTGTGTGTGTGTACGCACATCTATGTGTATGGGTGTGTGTAAGTATTTTGTGTGTGTGTAGGGTGTATAAGTGTGTGTGTGCGTCTGTGATTGTGTGGGTAGGCACTTTGCCCCAATAGCCTATTTAGACTATTCAGGAAATCTTTGTTTTCACGTGTAGGTATATGCGTGTGTCTGTGTGCGATATTGCGTCCGTGTGCACGTGTTCACCATGTGTTTGTGTCAGAGTGTCTGCCCCCATGGGGGAGCGGTAGCGTAGCGCGCTCCCATTCACGGCCAACACGAGGGACGATTATCTGAACCGATACTGGGCCTCCTCTAAGTCGACTCAGCCTCAAATGAGTACCCAGTGCGGTGTGCAAACATCGCCACTGGGGAGACTAAGGCGGCCAGGCTTGGTCTTGGCCACCCACCCGCTCGTGTACCGTTCCGGCCTTCATAGGTGCTCGCTAACAGCACTTGCCCCAGCAGTCCGTTAACGCTACACGGGGAGGAATCTTTGTATTTGTGGGGGGCGGTGGCGCCAATGGTGAGCGCACTGCGCTGCGAACCCGGCCAACCGAGTTCGACTCCCGCTCGTGGCCTACAAACACCGACGCCCAACGCAGGGACCGGTCCTGAGCACCCTCCCACCGACAGCAGCAGTGGCGAATACGCGAACCGGTCGTGATGTCGACTCAGCCTCGCACGAGAACCCTGGTGCAGTGTGCAGTAAACAGCAGCACTGGGGAGACAAAGGCGGCCGGGCGTGGCGTTTGCCGCCCTCCCGCATCCACCGTGCCGATCCAGCCAATCATTGTCGCCCGCAAAACAACACTTGCCCCCAATATTCTGTGAAAGCTATAGATGGGGTGGTGGTGGTGGTGGTGATGATGGTGGTGGTCTTTGTCTTAGTGGCTACCGCCTAAAAACTCCACTCCGCCGCGCTCTCTCTCTCTCTGTGTGCATTGGTGTGGCTAATTTGTTTCCTTATTGCCTCTCCCCCCCCCACACCCACACGCGCATGGGGGGGAGGGGGTGTAGGGGGGGGCTGCGTGGCCGAATGTGTGTAAGCCGTGACTCGAGGACGTCCAGGATGTGAATCGCGCGACCTCGAGATTTGTCGTGACACCGACTCGGGCAAAGTCGCCCGCGGCCAGCAACCAACACTGGCACCGCGGGCCCACACTCGAGCCGCAAGACGACGATGACGATGTCTTTCAAGAAGTGGTTCGTCCGGTGGATGGACTGGTCACCGTCATGGGAATGTGGAATGTGTTCCCACTACTGGTTCAAGGGGGCCCGCTAAACTGAGATAACCACTTGCTCGCTTGAGACGGGAGTGGTGGGTGTGGGGGGGGGGTTGGTGAGCTTTTGCGTGCACGTGTTAATCAAATAATTTTTTGAAAATTCCATTCAATCTGTAAAATAATTGCGGGGAGCGGTGGCGCTTCGGTTAGCGCGCCGCGCTACGAACGCCGTCGTCTCGAGTTCGAGACAAAGGCATCGCTCCCCCCCCCCCCTTCAATAGGTGCTCGCTAACATCACTTGCCCCGGCAGTCTGTTAAGGCCACGCGGGGGGCAGGGGGGGGGGGTCGTATAAACTCAACGAAATCGCCACCACGTTGCCTACATCCAACCTCACGACGGCGACTCTGCAGGACAACCTCGCTGGCGATTGTGTTGAACGCGCATCTTCTATGCATGCTCACGAACTCGTCCAGTCGTCGCCAGAGAGCCGATGGGCGTCTCTCTACATTCGCCACGAGCTGCAGGAAATGTAACGTCCTCTGGACGTTTGGTTCACTAGCGGCGGTGACTGACTCTTGGTTGGTCTTTGCCCTGAGCGGCGGTCGAATCGAGTCGCTCTATGAACTCGCTTCCGTCTCGCTTCGGTATCGACCGACACTGAGACCCATAGACTCACGCAGCGACCCGTAGACTCGCACAGAGTCCCATAGCCTCATGCAGGGACCCATGGACACAGAGACCCGTAGACTCACGCAGAGAGCCAAACGCTGCACGCTACTCACGTGGACGCCGAAATGCTCACAGAGACCCACAGTCTCAAGCAGAGACCCACAACCTCATCCAGGGACCCATAGACATAGAAACCCATAGACTCACACAGAGACCCACAGACTCACGGAGAAACCCGCAGCCTTATGCAGGGACACATATACACAGAGGCCCACAGTCTCAAGCAGAGACCCACAGCCTCACATAGAAACCCACAGCTTCATCCAGGGACCCATAGACACAGAGACCCACAGTCTCAAGCAGAGACCCACAGCCTCACGTAAAAACCCACAGCCTCATCCAGGGACCCATAGACACAGAAACCCATAGACTAGCACAGAGACCCACATCCTCACGTAGAGACCCACAGCCTCATCCAGGGACCCATAGACACAGAAACCTATAGACTAGCACAGAGACCCACATCCTCACGTAGAAACCCACAGACTCACGCAGCGACCCATAGACACAGAGACCCATAGAACCACACAGGGTCCCAAAGCCTCAAACAGAGACTCATAGACACAGAAACCAACAGACTCACGCAGCGACCCATCGACCCACATAGACACCAATTATTGGGCTCTCAAATACACATGGCTACTAATTTTGTGCAATGTTTGAGATGCTGTCGCATTTAGATACCTCTATATTGATCTACAATGTGTTGTACGAAGTGCAACTTTGTCAAGTTCTTGTAAAACAAGTATTGTTTCTGTTCATATCAGACGTTAACAAGTTGCGTGATCAGCAACATCATCATCATCAATGTCACCTCCTTAATCACGAACCGCTCACTCTCGGCATGCAGAGGTACAGCCATTGAAGCTCACCGCTCGTGTTTAGTGCACTAACCGTGCAATAACAACCATCAGCATCATCATCATCATCGCCGTTACCAGCCGTGGTCGATCCACTGCTGGATGAAGGCTTCCATCCCTCCCAAGTCGCCGCCGCCGCCTCCTCTCGCGACGCCTGGCGGCGCGGCGATCCGCCCGTCGCCGCTCTACACACGAGGAGCGACGATTCCGTTTCCTGGTCGCTCCGTCTCCTCCACGGTGGTTCCCGACATCCGCCAGGACGCGCTCCGATTCCTCGGCTGCCGCTCTCCCTTTATTATTATCGACCACCGTCGGAGTCCCTTCTGGCCGTGACGACGCGTCTCCCTGCCTCAAGCCCCACTCGTTTGTTGCCGTATGAGCACTGCGGATGATGATGATGATGATGCCACTCACCCGCGTGTCATTCCTAGCAGTGCGGCTCCGCACAATTCCTTGGTGCATTTCTCAAATGTTGCTCCGAATATTTTGCCCATGACCGTGTTTATGATCCACGTGTCAAAGCAGACTACACCTGCTATGACACCCCCACTGCCTCCAACACCGCCACTGCTACCGTCACCACAACTACCATAACCGATACAGCAACAATGCCAACCACTACCACCAAAATGACCACTTCAATTACCACCACAACAACAATTACCACCTCAATGGCCATCACCACTATCGCCAGCACCACCTCAATCACCACCACCACAATCACCACCACAATCATCACCACTATCACCGCCATCACCATCATCATAACCACCACAATGATTATCACCACTATCAACAGCACCACATCATTCACCACCACAATCACCACCTCAGTCACCACCACCACCGTCGCAATGACCACATCAATCACCACCTCAATAATCACCACCACCATCACAATGACCACATCAATCACCACCACAATCACCACCTCAATCACCACCACCATCACAATGACCACATCAATCACCACCTCAATAATCACCACCACCACCATCACTATGACCACATCATTCACCACCACAATCATCACCTCAATCACCATCACAATGACCACATCATTCACCACCACAATCACCACCTCAGTCACCACCACCACCACCGTCGCAATGACCACATCAATCACCACCTCAATAATCACCATCACAATGACCACATCATTCACCACCACAATCACCACGTCAATCACCACCACCACTACCATCACAATGACCACATCAATCACTACCTCGACCACCACCACCAAAATGGCCACCATCCACGTGCACCGCGCGCCCGGGACTCACTGTAGGGACTCTCGCTGTGCACGCCGCTGATTTTGCCTTCGGCCGTGACCTGCAGGTGGAAGCCGATGCCCACGTTGCAGTAGAGCCTCCTCAACCTCTTGATGACCCCGCCCAGGTAGGCCGCTCCGCTCTCTCGCGACCTCAGGGGCGTCACGTGAAGTCCAAACGCCAGCCCGAGACCCCCGAAGGGTCCCAGACCGCCGAGGCCGACTCCCTGGCCGCTCTTGGCCACCGGGGTCCCCCAGAATCCACCGGGCTGCTGGGACAGCGACCTCGAGGAGGCCGCCTGCTGCTGTCCCGTGGGATTCCATGGTCTCGCTCGCTCGGGCGGGGCCACGTGGAGTCGACGCACCAGCACCGGAGTCGACGGGGGTCTTCTGGGAAGGCCTTCGGAAGACGCCAGCAGCAAGACCTGCAGGATCAGCCACCATCGCTCCAGGGACCGGCAGCGTGATGGCATCGTCACCATCACGGCCATCATCATCATCGTCGCCGCCGCCACAACCGCCATCATCGCCATCACCACCACCAGCACCGCCACTCTTCTGTGATCCAGTCTCCAAAAGCTGTCCCTCGCTTGCCGCCTGTTGCTGCTGCTGCTGCTGTTTAAAGCTTATGACGGTGAATTATTATGCCCTGGTAAATGTAATTCGTTGACCACGTGCTAATAATAATTATATCTGAAATAAATTAGACATATAAAGTGTAACAATGAACAATCAATAAATCAACTTGGATTTCCAGTATCTTCTGTAATCCAAAAAAAACAACCCCAAGGCTCTTCTTTGCTCTTAGTATTCTTATTTTTTTACGCTGTTGATGATGATGATGAAAGTGGATCGATGGATAAGGCGCCCTTATCTCGAAGCAGTTCAAATGGCAGGCGTGTTATCTCCGAGTGGTCATGATGAGAATCCGTCTCTCTCCTCCACTCGCAGCGACCTCGGGATCGAACCTCGCGCGCGAAGAACCTCCTCGCTCGGCGTCGTCATGGGGCACACGGCGCATCCCACCGGGTCCGAGTGGGAGGCCCCTCCCGTGCCCAGCACCACCGCCACCACCGCCACCACCACCACCGCACGTGCTCGCAGCCTCAGTGTCACATCCCGCGGGTGTCCAGTGAGCGCGTACGCGTGTAGGTACACGTGCGCGTGTGTGTAGGTACACGTGCGCGTGTGTGTGAGTACACGTGTAAGTACACGTGTGTGTGTGTGTGTGAGTACACGCGTGTGTGTGTGTAAGTACACGCGTGTGTGTGTGTGTGAGTACACGCGTGTGTGTGTGTGCGAAGGCGATCAAACACTGAACTCGAGGCGCTCAGGGCTGTGACCGGCAGCTGAGTCGTCTCACGCGCGAGTGTCTTCCCACGACCACCACCAGCACCCTCCTCCTACACGCCACCCTCCTCTCCAGCCACGCGTCTCCCCCTCTCTAAAAATACCCGCAGCGGCCTCGAAGCCCCACGAAAGAAGCGGCTATTAATATTCAAATTCGTCTGTTATAACACGCTCAGGCCTGGAGAGACTGCACGCGGCCAGGGCCGTTCCGTTCGATCTCCCGTCGCGGCAAGGGGATTCTGCAGCGGTCCCAAGATGTCTCGAATCTCCACGTCGCGCCCTGTCGCCCTGCAGCGGTCTAAATGCATTGGGGTACGCTGCCACAACCACCACCACCACGACTACCGCCACCACCACCGCCACTACCGACCACCGCCGCTACCACCACCGCCAACCACCACCGCCACCACCACCACCCACCACCACCCACCGCCACCCCCCACCGCCACCACGTTCGTCTATGGTGGCGTGTGGTGGGGGTATCGTCTGTGTACTCCCACCCCTTCCACAACGTCCTGAGAAGCACGGAAGAGTAGGCCAAGAACAGCATCTTATCGGGTTTGCTCTCTGTGACGAGTGCGAATATGATGCTGCTGCTGCCATGATAATGTCTCACGCTCGCCCCGTGCAGTATTTAAAGCAAAGCCGTTATTATAATATATAATAAGATATGCTCAAAATGTCCCCCCCCCCCCAATATATTGCTATAAAAATATTTTTTAAAAAAATAATTGTGATGCTATGTAAATAAAAACAACAATTTGCTAAACTTTGGCCACAATATCTGGACTTCGACTTCATATAACAATGCATAGATTTCTGTTCATATGATTATGGTTATGGTTGTACTTTATTAATTCCTAATCTCAAACTTTACATACAATGAAACAAGAAAAGGTAAAAAAGTAAAAACAGAGCAATGTATATACAATATACACTATTAGACATTATTGTAAAACATAAATAAAAAGTCCATTCCATGTGTTAGTGAATGCTTTTTAATATTTTAGGCAGAAAATGAGTTTTCAAATTTCGATTTTTTTTCTGGGGGAGGGGACCCCAGACCCCCTAGAAGATTTGCCCCCCCCCCAATCTTGACTCCATAGCTACGGCCTTGATTTAAAGCAAACTTTTGGGGGGAGGCGCGTGTATAGCTTTAGTAGGCGTGTGTGCGTGTGTGTGTGTGATTAAATTTGTGTAACTTTATTGAACCCGGACAAATAAAATCCCATGTCATTAAATGTGTTCCTCCACCCTCCTCCCCTTACCTTGGATACATTTCAGCTCTGAGAGGTTACAATACCATATTCTTTGGGTCTTTCGGTAAAGCCACGTAGATATAAAATAATTTCATCAAAATAATAACAATATCGCGACGTTTCGATCGCGACACAAGCAGTCGTCTTCAGGTGAATGAAGACGAGAGCTGTGTGACGCCTTTTGGGCTCTTCTGGTCTAACACCGTTTTGAGACGAGGCTCAACAGAAAGCTGTCTCTGGTGTGGATCAATTCGTTTCAAAGACGATGCATATGCTATCAGAGTACGTTTTTTTTGTTTGCATTTTGACCACAAGTGTTGCGGTTAATGCAGACATGATTCCATGTAAAAGGTTTAAGTTTGGTGTTTTAACAACGTAACACCTGTTCTGTTGCCAGAAAAAAGTGGGAAAAAACCTATTCTCACGATTGCTTGTGTTGCCATCGTCGTGATATTGATATCATTTTGATTTTTTTTATATCTACGTGGCTTTACCGAAAGACCGGAAGAATATGAATTCCTGCAGTCACGAAAGCTTCAAGTCGAGCTCCAATATTAGTTTGAACATGTATGCGACTGTGAACAATTTCTCTCGTGCGGGGCAGAGCGGCTGTGGCAGTGCCTCCCTTTCTCCCTCTCCCTGTGGACCGGAGCGTCGCGTGAAGATTTGGGGGGGGGTGGGGGGGGGGGGTGGTTCATTCCGTCTCAATCTTGCGAGTTTTCCGAATGGACTCCCTCCGTCTCGTGGTGCCGAGATGGAGAGAAGGACGGCGTGCGTGCGTGCGTGCGTTGTGCGCGGTCCGCTAGAACGCACGCGTCTCTCGCTGTCTCTCCCCACGCCGCGTCCTTTCCCAGAGACGTCGGCGACCGCGGCCTGCAACCCACTCACCAGTCCTTTCCTTCACCCTCCCCCCAGTTCACTCCGATCGTTCGCATCGCTCGTGGGACTCAATTCGCTCTCTTACCGGCTGCGTGTGGCACCAACCCCCCCCCCCCCAATGTGCCCAGTCTGACCCCCGCGTTATTTGCCGGCTCCCTTGCTGCTATCGTTTCATAATCCATTCAATCTAACACTGCCTCGTTCGAAATATTCATCTTCTTTTTTAGTTAAAGCTTTCGTGACTGCAGGGATTCATATTCTTGGTTCTTTCGGTAAAGTCACCACGTAGAAGGGAAACAATAAAATAATAATAAAAATTAACAATAAAAAAATTATCACGACGTTTTGACTGCAACACAAGCAATCATCATCAGGTGTGAAAATCGCAACAAGAAAATGTGTGGTTTTCACACCTGATGATGATTGCTTGTGTTGCAGTCGAAACGTCGTGAGAATTTTATTGTTTTATATATTTTATATTATTTAATTGTTTCGTTTCTACGTGACTTTACCGAAAGAACCGAGAATATAATATTCATATCCTTCTTACGTGTGTAATGATAGACGTATGGAGGAGGTACGGTAACGGAAGACACTTTTTTATTTATACTTACGCATACATTATTTAGATCACCATCAACAACCGTGAGCTATTAACGGCGTCAATTTCGCCTCGATGATACAAGCTGCTGTGGTGCGACTGTGGCCATACAGCCCAAACTATGGGACCATAACGAAAACCCGTAGAAAAAACCCATACAGCCCAAACTACGGACCACATCGTAAACCCATGGAGACCCATAGAGACTCCTGCAGATACACCGAGACACATTAAAGACAAGCTGCAGTGGTGCGACTGTGACCATGTAACCTTTGTTATGGACCGTACAGCAAACCACTGTGGTAGCAGCAGCAGCAGTCTGCGCTCCTCCATCGTAGGAGGAACAGCAAAACGACACCAACTCTCTCTCTCTCTCCACTGTGGTAGCAGCAGCAGTCTGCGCTCCTCCATCGTAGGAGGAACAGCAAAACGACACCAACTCTCTCTCTCTCTCTCCACTGTGGTAGCAGCAGCAGCAGTCTGCGCTCCTCCATCGTAGGAGGAACAGCAAAACGACACCAACTCTCTCTCTCTCTCCACTGTGGTAGCAGCAGCAGTCTGCGCTCCTCCATCGTAGGAGGAACAGCAAAACGACACCAACTCTCTCTCTCCACAGTGGTAGCAGCAGCAGCAGTCTGCGCTCCTCCATCGTAGGAGGAACAGCAAAACGACACCAACTCTCTCTCTCTCTCTCCACTGTGGTAGCAGCAGCAGCAGTCTGCGCTCCTCCATCGTAGGAGGAACAGCAAAACGACACCAACTCTCTCTCTCTCTCTCCACTGTGGTAGCAGCAGCAGCAGCAGTCTGCGCTCCTCCATCGTAGGAGGAACAGCAAAACGACACCAACTCTCTCTCTCTCTCTCCACTGTGGTAGCAGCAGCAGTCTGCGCTCCTCCATCGTAGGAGGAACAGCAAAACGACACCAACTCTCTCTCTCTCTCTCCACTGTGGTAGCAGCAGCAGCAGCAGTCTGCGCTCCTCCATCGTCGGAGGAACAGCAAAACGACACCAACTCTCTCTCTCTTGAACATCCTCGCTGACGTCACACGCAAAGGTGGACACCAACTCTCTCTCTTGAACATCCTCGCTGACGTCACACGCAAAGGTGGACACCAACTCTCTCTCTTGAACATCCTCGCTGACGTCACACGCAAGGGTGGACACCAACTCTCTCTCTCTTGAACATCCTCGCTGCCGTCACATGCAAGGGTGGACACCAACTCTCTCTCTCTTGAACATCCTCGCTGCCGTCACACGCAAGGGTGGACACCGAGTCGCCGTCTATCGAACCGCGGGACCCAGAATTGGTTCCACGTACCCCCCCCCCCCCCCCCCGTGAACCATCATCCCCACGGCGTCGACCAAGTCGCAGAGCAGCAACATTCATCCGGGACCGCCGCGCTCAGCGCCGACGCAGCACCCGCGCGGCGTCTACTCGGAGCGCGGGGGGCTTCCCGCCGGCCACTCGCCGTGCGCGAGGCGTAGGGGCACGCGGGCCCTGCACTCTGCTCGGCTCACGCTACCGCCGGGGGTCTCCGCTCGAGGCGAGCTCAATTTGCACACAGCGTTGGTGTACGGTGCTATTTCAGGAATATTTTGATGGGGTTTTTTTTTCCTGGATTTTCTGTTTGCACAGCCAACACATAGTCACTTTAAGATGTTTTTCTTGTTCGTGTTTTTTTTTGTTTGTTGCAGTTGCACCCGATTCAAGAGCCGAATGGCTCACAGGGCTATACCAAAATAAATGGAACTAAGACGAGAGCCTGCGGGGTGGGCAGCGCTGTGGGAGCAGCCGTCCACGGTGGCCGGTACGTCCTCGTGGAACGGTGTGGGAGTATCCCTCACACTACCTCCACCGCACGCGACTTGCCCCATCGTTAGAACTCAACCGCTGTGTACCCTTTATGCCGCTGCTGCTGTGCACGGAGGAGTGGCGGGCGGTGGGTGAGTGTGGGGGGTGGGGGTGGAGGATTTGCATCATTGTTTAAACGACGGCGAAATCTCTGCATTGCGAGTCCGACGAGTGTGGTGCTGCTGCTGCTGCTGCTCCCATCTGCTTGATGTGCGAGTGAACGTGTTGATGGCTGCGCGCGCTCTGGGCGCGTCAGCCAGCCACCCGGCTCTAGGCATGAGCTCATAGAGGGCCCGCGACCAGATATATTTACTCGTGGCCAATAAATTAGAGGCCGCGCATTCACTCGGGCAGACGCGTGCCAGATTTAGCGACTCGACACCCTTCACGCGTGGCAAGCCACGAGGCCACGGGTATCATTATCAGCATCATGATGACCACTTTCGTCGTGATGGCCGGTATCAGCCTCAT